ATCGAAAAAGCAAGTGCAGCTTCGCCTTATTTTCGTTCTCTTTTGGTTTTGTCTATATATGTGGCCATGATTCATAATATATACGTAGTCAGTATTAATGGGTTGGATTATATCCAGTCAGCTTTCGTCGATAGACAATTCTCTGAAAGCTATGCTCGGTTATTTTTGATACTCATTTTGCCATAGCTCGCATGCAATTCTTCCAGTAGACGAAAATTCGATGCACACAACCATGTATTGGATGTGGTTGCAGATGAAGGTGTAGATGTTTGTGCTAATCTACTCTAAACATACATTCGAACATCATAAGAGAATAAAAGATGGTAGCGCAGCTACTATTCATCACTCAAAACAAATGAAACACAAAGAAAAGGACAGAAGCTCAACTGGGATTGAAAACCAGTTACAATCACAATTGGTATCTAGCCAAGCGCTTTTACCAACTAAAGTATCGACTCACTGTCTTAACTAAACTTCAAATTAAATGTGAACATTTATTTGAATCTTTTCGAGTGCTGTTAAGAATAGAAACTTCGTTGTACGAAGACTAACCATCTTTTATTCGAATAGTGGATAAAAAAAGTCCTGTGATATGCATTAATAAATAATTACTTGTGATTGAATTTAACAGTAAAAAGGCAGGCATATTTCAGACCCGCGATTATCGAAGTCGATTAAAGTTAGTCTTCGTACAACGAAGTTTCTATTCTTAATAGCACTTGAAAAGGTTTACATACATATTCACATTAGATTTGAAGTTGAGTTAAGACAGTGTGTCGATACTTTAGTTGGTAAAAGCGTTTGACTAGTTATCAGTTGTGATTTTACCTTGTTTCGAATCCCAGTTGAGCCTCCTTTCCTTTTCTTTGTGTTTCACTCTTTTCGAGTAATGATTAATAGCTGTTCTACCATCTTTTATTCGAATAATGAATAAAAAAAAAGTTCTGTTATATACATTTATATATAACCATAAAAGAATTTCAAAAATGTCTCATTGATTTTGAACTATATATCATGTAACTGTTGCACCATCAATAGAAAGACAGTCACTTTTAACAACTAAACGGAGAATGATCGAATGAGTCATTCGGTTTAATCAGATACTAAAAGGAAGCTTGAAAACAATCTGCATTCGAACTCATTGAATTTACTGTATTTAGGTCGACTCTTGCACATATTCTAACCAGGTTGCCGCAATGCTATTTTTGACTTTGTCTAATATCATTTTCTTACTTCAATTTTCTATCGACGAAAAAATTTTGTATCACGTGTAGTTCACTAGATAAAGGGACTTATCTTCATTTAGATAAAGACGATCCAAACAGTTTCGGTGGATGCCTACTCTGAAAGAAAAAAAGGAGTACTGCAGAACCTTTTTGTGGTTCTGTAGCTCATGCAGAACCTTCTCAAGTTCTGTATGAAAGTACAGAACTATCAATAGTTCTGTCCAACAGTACTGAACTTTGGAAGGTTTAGGAAAAAGATTCAAAACCATCAAAAGTTCGGTGTCGAAGAATACTGAACCGAAAAGGTTTTGCACAATGACGCTGAACCTAGTTAGGTTCTGTCAAAAAATGCCGAACCATAAAATGTTCTCTATTCAAAAGTACAGAACCCAACAGGTTCTGTCCCATGATGCTGAACTTTGCAAGGTTCGGCAAAAGAATCCTGAACCATAAAAAGTTTAGTGTCCAATAATACTGAACCAGGTATAGTTCTGTCAAAAGATGCGGAACCATTCACTGTGTTCTATCCACAAGGGCGAACTCAAAAGGTTCTGTCCCATGATATTGAACTGTCTAAGGTTCAGCAGAAAATTGTTGAACTATAAAAAGTTCTGTTTCTATAATGCTAAACCGAAGAAGTTTTGCACAATAAGACTGAACCATGAACGGTTCTGTCAAAAAATGCTCAATTCTAAGAAAAGTTCTCTATTCAAAAATAGTGAAGCGGAAAATATTTTCACTTTTCTGCTCAATTCTTCAACGTGTTACAGTTCAAACGTGCTGCCATAAAAGGATTTGAGAGAAAAAATATGGTGCAAGATATATTCATTATGAAGTCTTTTTCCAACAAGTTGGCAGAAAAGATTTTTTCAAATGCAATTTAAGGTACATTCACTAGAACTATCTTATTGCATACTTTCTTCTTTCTTTTACTTTCCGATACGTTATTGTACTATAATGTCCGACTTTTTCAGTCGCTCGACAATGCTTTTTGCACTTAAACCGTTGAGATGGCGTGAATTTTCTTTTCTTTTCAAGTAATTTTACTTTCTTTACATTGTTCACCTGTTTCCCATTTCCAGAAAAAGATTGAAACAAATCATCATCGAATCCACAACGCCTAACTAATATATGCTAAATCTGGTAAATAACTATAAAGGCAAATAATTCTATCATTGATATTTAGTAATCCAAATGCTTTGATATAAATTTTCTCAAGTGTTTTCATTTGCTCTCTCATTATTAATGTATCATAAGCGAAACCTCTACTGCTCCTGTTTTACAATACAAAAGTACACATATATTTTGATCAAATCAATCAACCCACCCGTTTACTGATTGAAAATGAAAACCATATACAGTGTTCGTTTACAGCAATCATAGATTATGCTTAACACTACATTACGACTATCCAAACAATTCGACGACTCTAATGAAGCTCCGATAATACTGTTAAGTATCGCATGCGTCAGCTATAAACGATTTGTTATCGTATTTTCGTTTTCTATCGTGTTTGTTCTAAAACACTCGTTAACGTCAACAAAAATAATCCATTCAATAAAACATCTAATACTATGAAATTAGTCAACCATATCATGCGCAGTTAATATCCAAACATGTCGTTGAACTTCACATCTTACAAATAAGATAGAGAATTTAGTGAAATCCGTATGAATCCAAGGATATAGACCTAAACATATAGTTTCACGAATACACAAATAACCGAATAGCCATAAGGAAGTCCACATAAAGCTATTAGTATACTGACATAAATAAAATGGTCAAGATATAAGAGTGTAGTCGTAAAGGCATACTCAAAATAAAAGAATTGCTATGGTATATATATAAAGGGTATAGATAAAGAGGTGTAGTTATAAGGTGCAGTATTAAGGATAGAGAAATAAGGGCATAGCTATAAGGCTACTCTTTAATANACGATCTAATTGATCCACAAATAGAGCTTTATCTTCCGGTCACACTGATGATACTTCGAGGTTTTCAGATATGGAGAACTCGAATGTGTACTGCACTTCCATCGAAATACTATTAGTTGCGCAGTGACCAATAGAAATGAAGTTATAGGAAAAACAACTTTCTTAGGGTAAATCAAGGTGCAGAGTTCAAACTTGAGCTGTATTCGGTCCCATGTCCTATTGGTTTGGCAACGCGTAATATAAATCAACATTTTAAATGGTAGATTTCACAGTATAATTTTGATATTCAGACAGTCTAGGATGATTGATTTTTATGATCCACTTTTTGAAGTACACATAACTCTCGGATTTAAATCCGAAGTTTCCGCATTTATTTTATCTCTTTTGACGACTAAGCTAAAGGTGTTGTTTCTAGTTAATGAAAGTTTTTTTGTGCAATTTAACTCATGCCAATATAATGATTTCCTCGCAATCACTATAAATGTAAAAGTATTAATAAAACGATTCAATCACTCATGTCACACACAGATCAACAAAGAATGAAAAATCATGAACTTTTTAAGCGAAAATTAAAAGAAATATGCAAAAATGTTTTGAATTATTGCTCATATGTTTTTTCATGAAGTAAGTGGACAACATGATAAAGCGCTCATCTTTGTAGTTGTTCAAAGTTCAGCGTAGTTAAATCAATGATGAGTGTAGGACTTTGGAAGAAAGAATGTAGGCTTTACATAATGGATGTAGATAGCTTTGGAATGATTGTAGAAACAAATGTGGGATCTCTTCATCTAAATCCATTATCTTTTTCTAATGAGAGAAGGATAAAGTTTCTTCAATGTTGTATGGCAATTTAATAACAAAAGCAAAATTCATGTGAATTTCGCGCATCACCCATTACATGAGCAGTGTCCAAAAATATTATGAAAATATTCTACCAACTTTAGTGGCAGAACTGTGGTGAAGATGTCCTGATCATCACAAAGATAGGAAGGATAATGAATAAAATTTTCACGTGTTTGAAGTTATAAATGCAGTAGAGTTAGTACTTTTCACTTGATTTTTTTCAAGTTAAAGTATTCTACATTTACTTGAACTACTTTATGTAAGTATTTTTTAGATTTAAAGTGCTCCTATTTGATGTGGTTACAATTACCAAACATAAACTCTAGTCAAAGAAGTATTATTAACTAAGAGAATTAACTAAGAAATCTTATCATGATCGATGACTTTAGCATGGGTTTGTTCATCTTATAAATGATTCTTAGGTTTTCCTTGACAAACTCGTTGTTGAAAAAAAAACTGTGGTATAGATAGTGTGTGGACATATTCTTCTTAGTTAGATGATATTAATATCTATCGCTAAGATAAAGTTTTATGTTTTTTGACTATCAAGCAAATTGATCTCCTGTAAAATGTATAGAGAATGAAGCAATTTTTGAGCAGGAACAAAACATTTCAATTTGCTTATAGGTTTATTATGTAGATCTAAACATACTGACATAAGACCAATGACGAAAAAGAGCATAGTTTTTCATCAAACGTGTTTTAAACATTTCGAATAGCTATGATTTGACAAGAAGAAAATATCAAATTAACAATCTAGTTTGATTATTTGATGCTAAAAATATTTTCAGTATAAAGAGTTCTTGAAATGATTTCAAATCCCCACTATTTATCAATAGTAGAATGATTACTTTCCATTCCTGGATTTCATTCGTTGCTGTCTTTTCTATTTATTTTCTCCTTCACGCTCAAAGTTTAGGATTTTGTCGAATATTTATTTAATTCAATGTAAAATTGCATATAAGAGCAACGAAGATTGCTTAGTGCATTTTTGACTTTATTTTGCTTTCAAAAGATTGTTTACTCTCATATAATTAATAAGAGTACGTGCATATCTTTTAGCGTTCAACAGTTTATATGTTCCACCACGAATACTCCATGGTAGTTCCGTTTGAATAGCATTTATTTTCGAAATATAATTACATGTTATATAACCACCTTCAAGGAAAGTACGATTTCCTGGTTTTGGATGTACCATCGATGGATAAACAATGCCAAGTTGTTTTTTTTTCCATAATTGTACCGAACGATGTTTGTCATCGAATGCATTCGGTTCGATTTGACAAAGAACAGATTTGTTCGATTGACGTAGTCCTACCAAGAGTTGTTTGGAGGTCATCTCTATTGAGTAGGGAGCCCTTTAAGAGATATCCAACCATTGTAAAGCTAAACAAATAGATTCATTCATTGTTCATTTTTTGAGGGCTCCTTATGCAACTCACTTGCCCTTTCCCTGACCATGAACATCAACAAGAAGACCTTTACCATATAGCTGTTTTACTTGATTGATGGCATATTGAAGATTTGAATGATAACTTCGATAGACACTGGTAGCTTTAGGATGATTGAGTGTTGCTTGATTAATTTCTCGATTGAAGTCAACCTTTTTTCGATGCCATTTTCCAATGACAACAAATGGTTTTAGGCCATACCTGATATTCAATTCTTCGGCGACATTCTCTACAAATTCATCACTAAGATTATCTTGAACCGTCGTTGTTGTACAACGTCGATCGTTGACACAAGCATCATTGTATATCCATGTGCATGATTTTCCTGGATGACGACAACCTCCTTGTGTTCGATCAGGAACATCAGTGGGCATTAGGCTACCACGATGAGGTGCAGAAACAATAAGATTGAAGGTACCACCTTGATGAAACTTGCAAGATGATCTATAACCATCGACATATCGTAATGGTTGTTGTTGAGCGACATTGAAAGATAACGAAGCAAACGCAAAACACGTCACATAAATTGTCGCTAGCATGGTTAGCATTCGTAATCAATGGAAACTGTTAATAGAAGCGTTTTTGTTTTGCTTTCTTAGATTTCTAATATTGATTTTGTCAGTAATCTTCTGTGGTTTTGCGGTACGTAATGAGAAACGCTCGATCGCAACCTATCGTTATGAAGCGTTATTAATACTTGATAAGTTATTATTTTTATATGCAGAAGAAAACAAAGTAACTTTCGTTCTTATCGTGGCAACGAAGAAAAAAGAGTAATTTTCGTTCTTATCGTGGTAGTGTATGAGTTGCCTAATTCGAATTATAATATAGATGAGCATTGTAGTGCTTAGGATGAATTCGAAAATAAATTTTAAAAAATTCGGCTGGCACTTGTACCCAACCAAAAAAAATATTCGAGTTATAATTTTATAAATGAGATAGATCACCCCTGGAACTTTGGTAAAAAAAGAAATTATATTCGAATTTTAATTTGAATTATAAAGGAGGGGGTCGTCAAGCGATGGAATCGACCGACTCTCGAAATTGAGTTTCATATTTTTCAAATAGTCAATTGAGATGTCAAAAGTCGATTGCAGTTCGAATTAGCCAGTTAGCCTAAGTTATGGCTGCACACAAATTACTTAAAATTTTGATATTATCTACTTCATGTAAGGTTACAGAATGTAGCATTCGTATGAAGTGCTTTTGCTTCGTTTTAAATGCCTTGTAATTTGCGTTATATACCGAATAAAAGCTCATTCTTTCCGCTATCGAATGGCATAGAAGAGTATCACAAAATTTTCTTCTTTCATTGTTTTCTTGGGATGACCTTGTACACTCCTATATACCATTATACGGGTACTCATGAGAAAACCCCATTTTATGTAGCAGAACTTGAGAAACCAAGGATACCGCGTATAGTAGTAGTTGAAAAGGCAAGCGTTTGCTTCTATAATAGGACTTCTGGCCACAAGGATACCGTTAATGTTTACTTGGTAACTTGCCACTCCTTTTTTAGGTGAGTGTCTTTAAATAAAATGATCTATCCGTTTCATTCTTAAAATCTTTTAAAACCTTAAAATCTGCGTTTCCCCCCTTTGCTTTCATCCCACACCCACTCAAAATTACTTGTGCAAGCCCTTTTTTACTTTTTTTCCAAAAGAATAAGAGATGAAACAAAAGCTAATATATGACAAGCTGAAAAAAATATTTTATTTAGAGAAGTAGAAAGTCTACTTTTTTTATCGAAGTGGAAACGACCGGAAAAAAAGAGAATTGTAAATTGAACAAGGTGAGAAAAACTAACATTCAGCTTCATTTGTAGCAGCAGTAATACACATTTAGTAACTTCTATTTATTGAGACAAAAAATTGTGGGTGAGTCTCTTAAGGCAGCGATGATTCAAATTTTCATGGTACGAACAGTCCCAAGGATACTTCAAGTGCTTCATGTAAAATGAATTAGCACATTGATTTATCATTGATTAGAATTTCAAATTAACAACGACGATGATCTCAAATAAAAAGAATGCCATGAGACAAAAGAAATAGTCAAGAAAAGAACTAGACTAAAAATTTCTCTCAAGTGACTTGGGATACTAAAATGAAACAGTTTAATTTACATCAGTTGATAAGAAAGTGAAATTGAATTGTAGTATATTTCTCTAGTATTATTTCTAATATCACTAGAGTAAATTAATAGAAATGCATTAGTGATGTTTTATTCTTCATCAACAGGTATTCATATTAAAACAAGAAGAATAAGAGATCTCTAAACATTTGTACACTAAAAGATAAAAGAAAATTCAGACTATTTTGATTTTTTCTCGACATTTCATCACTTTTCTGTTTCACTCAACATGTAGTCATGGCAATCGGTGAGAAAATGAAAGGATTCAGCGTGTGAGTGTTTTTTTTAAATTTTTGTCCAACTTGTTACTAAATTGCTTTTTCTAATTTCAATTAAGACGTTGGTATATACTTCCAGTGGACTAGCGCATAATGGCAAAGTATGTATTCGTCTTTCTACAAATGCAATATAGTAAATTGTTTTCTATTTCCTGATTTCAGAAAACTATATGCCATACAACCGTTAAGCATGATATAAGATCTATTGAGAAAGCATATTTTTTTATTGCATAGAGACTGCATCTTTTTGGTTTCCTGGTTGAGAGATGCTTACGTATGCAAAACAGTTCTCTATCACTTTTTCCAGGAAAAACAGACTACATTTATGTAAGTAGAAGTTTTCTTTATTTCGATATCGTACTTTTAGTCATAAACAAAGTTGAAGTATGTATGTCGTTAGATATTTGTGAAGTAATTTTATGTACATGCATATGGCATATATATATTAAAAAAGTACTGCGATCAAGAGACTTTTTCGCAAATATCGGCGAATTTCAATAGACAGGAGACAACGTTTCATTAAGACCAAGAGGTATCGGGATTTTTTTTGAGCTTTATGTACTGAAGATTCATTCAGGTCTGTCGGTCGTAATGATACGTCTGCGTACGCACACCAACACTTGCTAAGAAACCATCAAGGATTCTTTTCAAACTTTTTGAGGAACTTTTTGAAAAGTGTCAATAAATTCTGATAGCTGCTGTGAAAACAAACAAATGCACGCGCGAGATGTAGCCTTGTTCTCAACCTACCTTTTGATCTGTCGAAATAGTTTCTCTAAAATCTGTTTCAGACCTTAATCATTTACTAAAAATCACATTTTTCGAATTTTACTTTATCTAATTATAATGAACTGGTCGAAGAAGAATTTCGACGCTTCTGATTTTCTTCTTACCATGAATGTCCGTGGTCCCATCAGGTGGCTAATTTCATTAGATCTAAGTCGCACAATATTTCCAGTCTATCATTGATCTCCATCTGCAGAACATTTTTGAGAACGTTTCTCTCAAATATCTGAATGGGTCTAATTTCAAGATCTAGAAAAATGATTGACTATATAAATATGTATGATTTTTGATGAACTTCTATTTTAATCCCTCAAAAGTTATCAAAAATGTATATCATACTGAATATTCGAACACATATTTCCACAGTTATAACGCGTGTTTTACTCCATGAGTAGAACATGATTTATTGCTCTTAGGTAAAGATTATGCTTTACGATGATGTATAAAAGCAATACAACTTCCACCGAAATCATCCGTGTATGAATAGACACTTTTCACGCTGATTTGCCTACAAGGCATTATATATTGAGCAGTAAATAAGTACAAGTTTGGAAAGTATTTTATAATGATTGAAATCCAACAAGATTATTTCGGCCTCCGGATCCACCCGTCACCAACATGGAACATGGTTATTTTCTGCCTATTTCAGCAGGTTGTCGTGTATTTTCCCTTTTCTTTCTCCTCCGGAATCGTATGGAAAACATACAGAAAATGGAAGCAGTATTCCGATTTGAAAAGCGCTGTAGTGGATCCCTGCACTTTCGCACAAATCTAGTCTTCAGAATAGTCTTGGACAATACCATGATCATGAAAGATTTCTTAAAGAGACTCATCTTATTCTGGTTGAAACCGTCCAGAACCATGTGAAATCTAACCAGAGTCATACTGGAAGCATAAGATTTTATTCGACATTATCTACAAACAACTAAGATAAACCTGAATGTCTACAGAATACAGCAAAATTATTGAAAAACCCAATACTGTCGGCTTTTCCCAGCAAGTCTCGGTGACTTTCACCGCTTTCCTACAGAAAACACTCAGAATCGACAAGCAGAATCCCCCAAAGTCCTTTGCAATACTGTTCGCAAGATATCTTCCTATCCCAGCATTATCTGCAGAACACGCTGCGTTGATGGGTTTCCCTGCAAATTCTATAAAAATTCTCTATCTTTCGAGATATTCAATGCAAATACTGTTCACGCAAGTGTGAAGAGGTATGAGTGGTCTCCACTTTCGTCATAGATCCAAATCGACGCTAACGCATCCTCTCCCAAACTGATACTCGCTCGTTAATCTCCGTGCCATATACGCCGTAGTCTCATATATTTAACCGGACCAATTAGATTTTAGTAGGACTTTTTCTCTTATTATATGGACAAGTACTAATCATGCTCAGGTCGATCCTCTGATTATCGAGGACAATCAATAGAATGAGAGGTAGATGTATGGATCCCCGCCTTGCGCCTTACTGAGAAATAGAGTGTTGTGATTGGATCGATTCAAAAATGGATTAATCGAATTTCACGGCTGTTTTTCTCTCTTTATATAATTCTGAGAAGGTATTTATTACATGTCGTAAAGGGGACTGAGTAGTAAACTGTACATCAGTATTATTTTAAGGATTGGAGAGATTGTGCTAGAAACCACATTTGTTTGTGATGCTCCATGAACGACGTTTGACTTTGTAAATAACTCGAACCTCGTAATATATGATCTGTAGCCTGTTGTTAAGCTAATTTGGTAAAACACAAGTGGAATGTCGTACTAGATACGAATACTGCAACCGTAGACTATTTCCGAGCTCAACAATTAACAGGAGTAACAACTCTGAAAGAAAAAAAGGAGTACTGCAGAACCTTTTTATGGTACTGTAGCTCATGCAGAATCTTTTCAAGTTCTGTATGAAAGTACAGAACTATCAATAGTTCTGTCCAAGAGGACTGAACTTTGGAAGGTTTAGGAAAACGATTCAAAGCCATCAAAAGTTCGGTGTCGAAGAATACTGAACCGAAAAGGTTTTGCACAATGACACTGAACCTAGTTGGGTTCTGTCAAAAAATGCCGAACCATAAAGTGTTCTCTATTCGAAAGTACAGAACTCAACAGGTTCTGTCCCATGATGCTGAACTTTGCAAGGTTCGGCAAAAGAATCTTGAACCATAAAAAGTTCAGTGTCCAATAATACTGAACCAGGTATAGTTCTGTCAAAAGATGCGGAACTATTCACTGTGTTCTATCCACAAGGGTGAACTCAAAAGGTTCTGTCCCATGATATTGAACTGTCTAAGGTTCAACAGAAAATTGTTGAACTATAAAAAGTTCTGTTTCTATAATGCTAAACCGAAGAAGTTTTG